TCTGACCATTCACAGGTTTCGCACACAAGAAATCAGCTGTTGTGTGTGACCAGCGCTATGCCGATGATTTATATCGATAAGTGCGTGAGCCAGTTCCTATCGATTGGGCGGCCACTATGTTGTTCGTATCGGCGGGCAGCATTTTAATTCAAAACGTATTTAAACATGCAAATTAAACAAGTATTCATTTTTTTATTTTTATATATATTAGCAACAAGTTTATTGAATTTAGATTTTCCGTTCATATACTTTTTACGTTCAATATCTGTTTCCCCATTTCCAATGCTGTGTGAGTTTTTGTTACAATTCGTTTTTTTCTGTAATTTTCTTTTTTGTTTTCTTTTGTATAGCTTAGATTTTATATTTTACACAAAAAGTTTATCCATAATCGTAAATTTTTAATCCGAATTGTCATTAAAAATATATTTAAGCTGTTTACTTAAATTTCTCGCTTGCACATATTCCAGATATATGTATATAAATCATACGCACGGAGTGAAAATACAGTTTAGTTTCCTTTCCTTGCTTTCTTCCTTAGTTTTCTTACACAATTCATTTCCATTTCGATTTTCTTTTCATACATTTATAGTATATAGCCAAATATAAATGTGTGCGTGTGTGTGTGTGTGTTTTTTGCTTTCTGTGTGCTTTTCTATTTCTCGCATAAGTTGTTCAATAATCATAAACTTAGTCAATTCATTATTTTGTTTTTTTTTAGTTTTTTTAGAGTTTTTTTTTATATATTTTTAATTAGGTGTATACTTTGACCATATAAATGTAAAATCTCAGACTTTAATTTTTAACTAAAGTGCACTACATACAGAAAGTGTTCAGTGGAATGTGAACTAAATTGGATTTTCGATTTTTAGCAATCGTAAATGGTTAAGAGTTTATTGTGAAATGAGAAAAAGTCTGGAAAATTAACTTGCAAATATGGCTCACATTATTTTCTAATACTCAAATCATTTTATACGTAATTATAATTTGTGTTTTTTTTTTGTATTTTTTTTTTGCTTTTGTTTTTTGTTTTCATTAGTTCTTTTGAAGTTTAATATTTCGGCTAGTTAAATATTTATTTAGTTATGCATTTAGCATTCGTAGAAAGAAATCATAAGCTGTTTAAATAAGTATTCCATTTCTCGTTACTTTTCTTTACATTTCACGTTTTTTCTTTTCTCTTCTTTCGTATTTCAATCAATCAATCATTAAATATGCAACATTTCCTTATCAACGCATCGACAAACAAATGTAATCACAGTTTTATGTTTTCCTTCTTTATATAAACTCATTTTCATTTAGCTATTTATTTCACTATTTGTGTGTGTGTGTGTGTGAGCGTATGCATGTGTGTGTGTGTGTGTGTGTGTGTAGCTTGTGGCTGTGTGGTTGTTGTTGTAGTTGTATTTGTTGTTGTTGTGGTTGTAGTGGTTGTAGTAGTATTGTGTTTGTGGCCTTGCTATTAACAGATAAAAACTGAAAAATTTGTTAACGAAATAAATAATAATATGCAATTACAATTATTACAAATATGTATTTGCTGCATCAAAAACTCACCATCCCGCCCTATCCAGCCCTATCCAGCCCCTAATCGCATGCCCAACTCGGATCTTAGCCTTATGAACACTCGCATATTATCTATCGCTTTGCCTTGCCTTTGTTAGTTAGTTATTTAGTTAGTTAGTTGATTAATACTATTACGTATTTAGAAAAAACATTAAGAATATTGCACAACTTGTTGAAAAGAACGTTGACGTTGACTTTGTTTTTGTTTGCTTTTGCTTGGATCTCTTTTTTTCGCTTTTTTTAAAAATATTTCATTTAATATTTAATACCTGAGTTGTTCATAATCGTTTTTGCATGATTACAATTTTGCTTCGTTTTTTAAATATTTTTTTTTATTTTTAGTTTTTACTTGTAATACACATCGAAAAAATGTTTTTTTTTTTTTTTTGTTTTTTTCCCTTTTTTTTTATTGGTATTAAATGCATGTATACATCGTCGTGAGTCTTGATAATGCCCTGAGTTTGCTCCATACGGATTTTATTTTTACGTTAAATATATATATATTTATATATATATATATATGTATATGTACAGACATTAAGAGAACATTTACATAGTTCCATAATATTTTCAAGTGGACTTTTTGCATTTCTTAAAGACTTCTTGCCAAAATGAAAATCAAAAAGTTTCATTTCGTTTTTCTTTCTTGTCAATTTTGCACACTTTGCAGTTCAGCGCATTGTTGAAATTTTCTTAGCTTTTCTTTTTGCATGTGTAACTCAAGTTTTGTTGCCAAAAACCCAAAAGCTGTTAATTTTAATTTAAAAAAAAAATCAATTAAAAAAGAGACAAGTTTCCGTTTCGTGTTGTCAACTGAATCGTCCTAATGTCACACCATTTGCCAAAACTTTTATATTTTTTTGCTTAACTCTTAGATATTTTGTATTTTAAATTTATAGTTGGTTTTTTTTTTTTTGAATTTTTGTTTTTTTGCCGAAAAATTTGTACGCATTTTCATAATATATATTCGTTAATTTAAAATTTAACTGCTAAATTTTGTGTTACCTGAAATTTTGTACTTGTCATTGTTCCAAAAGTTTTTGTGTGTCTTTTCCATTTTTTTTTGTTTTGCTCTTAAATTTTTCACTTTTTCAAATTTTTATTTACTTTTTGGTTTTGTTCCTTTAAGTGTGACCTACATTTAAATACAAATAGAAAAGAAAAGACGTAAGAAAAATAAATAAAAAAAAAAAAAGAAGTTTAAGTACACACATATATTAAATTTAATTTGTACTCGCTTCGATTTTCATTTAGACAAATTTACAACAACTTGATTTACACATTCATAGAGGGGAGGGGTTGAGGGGTGTGTGGGCGTGTGTGTGCGTGTGTAGAGTTGAGTACAATTATCGACTTTCTAAGGTTTTAAGCTAATATTTAGCCATATGTTTTAGACGCTGAACTGAACTGTAAAGTCGCTTAGGCCTAAACATATTTTCCATAATTGTTATTAACTTTTTGTTTTTCTTTTCTTTTCTCTTGTTGTAGTATACGTATTTGCCTTTACATATATATGTGTGTATTTTTTACACACACACACATATATATACAAATTAATTTCTTGTCCGCGTGCTAAAGGAAATGAAGAAATTAAAAATTTTGTTTAACAATTTTGTTAACGAAATTTGTTTTAGGATACCAATAAAAATTGCCAATTATTCGAATTTTTTTTTGTTTTTTTTTTTTTTTTTTTTTTGGTTTTTAACATTTATTTAGTTTCATTAATTTAGAATTTACGTAAATATATATATATAGTTTGTGTGTGTATATATATTATAAATTTAGTTTTCTTTCTTTCGTTTTGTTTTTTTCCATTTTTAAACATAAACATTACAAATTAAAAGAAATTGTCAAACAAGCCAATTTGCGTGCTGATTTAAACAAAATTCAAATTGTACAACATAAAACATAATGATACAAAATATCATAATATAAAATAGCATATTTTTTACATACATTTTACACTTAAATTTAACTTCATTTCGGTTTCAATCTTCCTCATGATACTTCAATTTTATAGTTATTTCAAATAACTTAGATAGATTTTGTTGTGAAAGCAAAAGCAAAACTAAACACACGGAAGTTCGCATCAAATTAAATTTAAATTTAAATTTATGTGAACATTTTGTTATTGATATATTATTTTTTTCGAGTGTAGCGTTAAATAATGAATGTGAAATAATTGTGTAAGTACAATTGGCTTGTTGTTATCATTTTTTTTTCTTCTCTGTGTTTGACGATATTCAACTAAATATTAATAGAAAACAAGTATTAACAAAAATATATAACAAAAATTACATACAACGTTTTCTCACACAGCGAACTTTAGTTCAATATTCGTTTGCTGCTTTTTCTTCTTATTTTCTTTTTTTTTGTTAGATTATTTATATATATATTTAGTTTATATATATATATACGTATTTAAATTAACTTTTTGTACCTGTGCACAATTACACATAAATTTTGTTTTGCGTGTTTGAAAACTTTGCTTAGAAATTAATTTATACAACGAAAAAATTAGCAAAAATTAGGAGAAAATTAAACAATTTTACAGCATTCAAAAATCTATAAACACAAAATTACATAGTTATATAGATGTTTCTATATATATATATATATCGTACATACACAAGTAGCTTTTATTTTGTAATTTTTATGAAATTTTTTTTTATGTACATTAAAAGTTGTTGCTTTCAATTGTTGTTGTTTTTTTTTTGTTGCTGTTGTTTTCACTTTTAAATGCAAAATGGCGACATGTTTTGTTGTTTTTTTTTTTTAAATTAATTTATGCATTTTTTTGTTGCACTTACGTTTTTACAAAGAAATTATTTTAGGCCGCTTTTTGTCGAAAGTTGGGCCTAAAATTTAAATGTTTTATGTTTCGCTCTAAATAAATATTTATGCGTATAATCTGTTTGTTAATTTTTGTTTTTGTTTTTCAATATATACTTTATGTTCTGCCTAATGTATTTGTTTTTGTTTTTTTTTTTTTGTGTTAAGTTTTACATAAAAATATGTTTTGTTTTTTTTTTACGATTTTCTTTTTTTTTTCTTGTAATTTGTAGCCGAAAGTTTAAGCCTAAAATTGTTTATATGCTTAGTTTTGCGATTATGCAAAAATTTCTTTAAGAAAGGTTTTATTTTTTTAAGTTGTAATTTTTCGTTTTTACATATTTTGTTTTTATAACCTTTGTGGTTTGCGCTTTGAAATTGAATTTAAATTTTAGTTTTTGGGCTGTCAACAAAATGTTTTTGTTTTTTTTTGACAGTTACGCGTAGCTCTAGCAAAAGTATACCGTTATTTAGTATTTGTTTGTGTGAGTGTGTTGAAATTTTAAGTTTTTTTTTTTATAATTTTAATAGCCTTAAAATAATTTCTTTGTATTTTTTTCTTGTGTGTTGTGTTTTCATATATTTTTTAGTTAATAAATGTAAAGTTTTGTTTGTTTTGTTTTGTTTTTTGCCTCATTCAGTTGCTTTGCCGAAATTGTATGTATACACATTGTTTTTGCTTAGACACATATACATATTAAAATTTTAGTCATAGTTCTAGTTAGTTAGTATAGCCAAAGATTGTAACTTTACATTAAATGTTCATCATCATATTTTTTTTGTTTTTGTTATTTGTTGAAATTTCGTGTTAAATTTAGCGCATATTTACAAAAAACTAATGCAAAAAAAAACCTCTGTTTGCCAAAGTTGTTGTGCTTCTTCTTCTTCTGTTTTTTAACAAACAAATTTAGTTAAGGTTTTTGTTTTTGTTAAGCCAAAAAATGTGTTGCAAATGAATTTTTTTCTCTCTTTTACTCAAGTGTTTTTGTAAATATTTCGAAATGAAAAGCCAAAAGTTGTGTAGGTGTGAGTGTGTGTGTGTGTATGTGCGTGTGTGTGTGTGTGTGTGTGTGTGTCGAACCATCGATTTACTTTGTGTCACCATTTTACAAACAAAACTTAAAGGAAAAATTTTTTAAGTATTTGTTTTTGATTTGTTTTTCTTTAAATTTAAGATATATTTGCTATATGCGCAGTCTATTGGGGGCCCGTTGAGGTAGTTTAGTTAACTATTGCAGTTCGATATTTGATTGTTGTTTTGTAATTAGTTGCTATTGCTTGTTGTGTGTGTGTGCTTGTGTGGGTGTGTGTTGCAAGTGTCTTTTGCATTGTTGCGTAAGATTAGTTGTTTAGGATTTATGTCCCATTAAAAATAAACTAAAACGAAAATACATAACTAAGAACTAAAGCTGTGTGTTGTTTTTATTTCATTAGCATCTTCAAATTAAACTTTGATGTTTTCCATTTATATATTGTTTGCAGCTGTTTGCCAAAAACCATAAGGAAAAACAAAGAGGTAGTTTCGATTCTGAGGTATATGAGTTCCTGAGTTTGATTTACATACATACATACATATGCATGCACATATACATGTGCACAAGTCTAAACATAAAACTAAGTGCTAAAAACAAATACCTAAACATACCGACGACGAGATAAAAACTATTTAGTAAATATATATTATATTTTCAACATAATATTTGTAATGCAATTGTTGCGCCTTCTGCCATATGCCACGCCCAGCAGCTGTGCTGGCGCGCCACGCCCACCGACGGCAACGTACTTAAAAATAATATGTAATTCAGACTCCAGAGAACGTTGCGCCGGCAGGCGGCACGCCCACACTGTGGGCGTGGTCAGGCTTTGAGCGAGGGGGGTGGGGGAGTTGGGGTTGGGGTGGGGTGGTAGTATATGTAAAGCAATCAAAATATATATTTTGTGAATTCACATAAACTTTCACTAAAAAAAAAACTTGGTAGTATTTGTAATTTTTAGAAAATTAAATTATTGCAATTATTTTTCAATATTTTCTGTTTTCTTTTCTTATTGTTTGCTGTTCGATTTACGGTTAGGAAAAAGCAGGATCGAAGAAATATATAAAAAAAAAATTAAAAGAAAACAAAAACTTTGCAGCGCCGAACGCGGTTCGGACGCTGCACATCACAGAACAAACTGGGTTTTTGGGTACATTACGTAAGAACTACACAAAGAAATGTAACGGCACCGCATGGCCGCTCTATGCGCTTCTCACAGTCTGCACTCCGGCGGCCAGCGGCGTGTGTGTGTGTATGTGTGTGTGCGTGCGTGTGTATTGTATTGGATATATATATATATATATATATAGAGTATGTAACTAGATCTATTCCGTTAATTGAATACTATTTGAGTGTTTTTCTTTTTTTTTGTAGTCAGCTATTGTAGTTTTGTGTATGTGTGTGTGGTGTTTGTGTGCGTGTGTGCGTGTGTATCACCCTGTAGTTATATGTAAACAAAAATCTTGCACTATTGTGTCAACTTAAAAAAAAAATAAAGGAAAAACTAAAAGAAAAAAACTAAGAGAAAATGTACTTGCAAGCAACTTTTGGCGAGCCTATGTGTTCCTACATATGCGCTTAATATATATACATACACATACATATGTATATATATATATAGGTAGATCCTAACTTTAGGCATTTAATATGCTTTTACAACTGAGCCTTAAACTCTAAACTGTGTGTGTGTGTGTGTGTGTGTTTTTAACTATATACAGTGCCACGCCCACTTGTTGGCGCAGGCCTTGGCATTTCATATTTTGCTTACAACAAGAATTTTTCATTGATTTTTTACAGCATTTTAGTTACAAAAATTATATGGAGCCGAAAAAACAGAATTTCGAATTTAAGTTAAATTTTCATTTTCTCTTGTTTCATTTTCATTTTTTTTCTGGTTTTGGTTGTGAAAAGAAAAATTGGGTTTTTTTTTGTTGAAAAATGTTTTCCAAAGGTGTGCCAAAAAGTTTTCGATTTTGAATTTTTGTTTTTGCTGTAATTGTTGCTGTTTTTGTTGTTTGCTTTGTCAAGTTTGTTGAGAACGTTTTTGAGTGGTTTTTGTTGTTGTTGTTGTTGTTGTTGCATTTAACTTTTAACAAGTATCTCTTAGTTATTTTTGCTAGATTTTTTTTGTTTTACTTTAGTTCTTTGATTAAATATATAAGCATTTTGTTAGATTTTTGCTTTTTGTTTTTCACATTGTTTATAAAATTTTACTAATAGTTGTTTAATTTTATATATTTTTTATAGGCACCCAATTTACCAATTGTTTTACTTATTTTGTTGACGTTAAAAGAAATAAACAAAAATCAAATCTGTTATCAAAAGTTTGTGCGTGTGTGCGAATTTTGAGTTTCGAAAAAATTAAAAAAAATTAAATATAAATGCAAAGAACACACAGCGAGGGGGCGGGGGCGGGGGCGGGGAAGGCGCGACAGTCAGCCGGGTTTGTTTCTTGCCATCTGTGTTATAAATTTAATAAAATTATTTACAAAAAACTAGACAAGAAATCTACCCGAGCCGACTGCACAGAATTCAATTAAATGCTTTTGTATTTAAGTTAAGTTTGTTTTCTTTTTTTTTGTTTTTTGTTTTTTGTTTTTTGTATTTGTTTTATACTATTTAATTATTGCAGGTACTTGTGGTTACGGTTTTTGTTGCTATTGTTGCTTTGTAGTTTGTAGTTTGTTGTTGGTTTGTTGTTGTTGTTGTTGTTGTAGTATGCAGCTATTTTGTTGTTTTGATTTGTTTTTAATTATAGTTTAAATTCAGTTTTGTCTTTTGTTTACTTTGATTTGAGGCAACTTGCAGCGGTTATTTTCAAAAACAAATTGAACATCTTTTAAAGAATAATTGTGAATTATATTATACAAAATACATAAACAATTATCATTATTATTATTATTATGATTTTACTTTTCAGCTACGTTTGGCGGCACCAATCAAAAACGTTCAAACTTTTCATTTACTTCTCTTTTTTTGTAAGCATAACTATTTTCTTGCTTTTACTTTCAAGTTTCTTGCTCGTTTTTTGTTTGTTAGTTATTTATTTATTAATTAGCACCCTGAAAACGATTTTTCAGCCGGACTGCAATTTGTTGTATACTCTTTTTTTAATAAATTAAAATATTTCAGTTTTGTTTTTGCTAATTTGTTGTTGTGTAGTTTTGTCAGAAATAAAATTTGTCCATAAACTTCATTATTTAAACATCAAATACTGCGTTTGTGTACCTGTGTGTGTGTGTGTGAGTGTGGTTGTGTTTAAAGTTAGTTAGTTAGATTAGTTATAGTAAACATTCTGCCCAGTCTGCAAAGGCTGGGACTTTTTTTGTTTTTGTTTTTTATAGGTGGTCTCCGAGGGCAACAACAGTTGCAACAGTAGTCATTATCTTCTTCTTCTTCATGTTCTTCAGGTTCTGATCATCCGATGTTCATGATCAGCGCGTAAACGTTTCTTCTCTATACATCAATCAATCACTCTTTATCAATCACTCAATCAATAATTTCGCTTGTGGCATTAAATTCTTCAAGGGGGGTTTCTTTTTTTTGGGGGGGGAGGACTTGGGCGGGTTTAGCTTACTGCTCATTCGCATCCACATTGAGCTTGGGCGTCGAGGTCAATGTGGGCGCTTCGTGTGGCAACATCATTTGGCTGGTGGGCGTGGGCGTGCGGTGCATCTCAGCAGCGGGCGGGGGCGGCGTTGCGACATATAGCCGCTGCTCCTCCTGCTCCCGCTCGTGCTGGTGCTCCTGCTCCTGCTCCTGCTCCTCTTCGCTGTCCGAGAGGGGCTCTATCTTGGGCTCAACCACAACCAGCTCGGACTCCGGGTCTGGCGAACGCAGCGGCTCATCAATGTCCATGGCAGCGGACGCAGTTGCTCGAACTGCCGCCTCGCTGCCGCTAACATCGCTCGCCTCCGCATCGCTGCCATCCGTTGTGGTCGTTGTGGCCGTTGTTGTTGTGGTTGTATTGGCCGTCGTATTGGCCGTGGTGTCCATGGCCTCGGCTGCCTCGGCCTGCTGGCGCTGCTGCTGATGCTGCTCCTGCTCGGCGGCCATGGCCGCTTTGATTTGCAACGCCAGCTCCTGGTGCACCTGCTGCTGCTGCTGCACAAAGCTGAGCAGCCCGCTGGCAGCGGCCGCCGCCGCCGCTGCCTCCTCGTCGCCCTCCTCCGTTAATGCGCCCCTCACGCTGGTGGCAGTTTCGCCCCCGCTGCCTGCCACCGCCGCATCGATGCTGGACGCCATCGCGTCCCGCCGCTGCATGCACTTCTCCAATGCCATTTTGAGTGATTTACGTTTACGCTGCTTTGCCGCCTCCTTGTGGGCGCTCATGACTACTGCTGCCGCTGCCGTTGCGGCCGCTTCCTATGGTGAATGATTGGCGGCCGCCGCAGCTGCCGCCGCTGCCGCGACATGCGCCGGCGCAATTGTCGCGCCGGCGGCCAGGCCAATCTCCTGCTTGTGCTCCCGGGCAATGTGCCGGCGCACCGTGTTGTTGCGCGTGAATGTCCGCTCGCAGAATGGGCAGGGCACACGGATGCCCTGATGCCGCTGCCGGATGTGGGCGCGCAGATTCGTCTCGTAGCCGTAGAGGCGATCGCAGTACAAGCACTTCAGCTTCTTGCCGTCGGCGGTGTTCACGCTGTTCTTGTTGTTCATCTTGGTGGCATTCCACACGTTCAGCATGTCGGCGGGCGCTATCGAGGCGGCCAAATTGCCAGAGAGCGAGCCGTCCGCGTTCTTGAGGTTCTCCAGCAGCGTATTCGGTGTGGTCGACGAGGTGTTCGAATTGGCCGGCGGCGGTGAAAAGTTCGAATTCTCCAGCTTCACGCGCAAATCCTCGGCGCCATTCTGCAAATGGAATTTGGGAATTGTCAAAAGCTGTTGATATTTTTTTATTATGGGTTTGTTAATCCTCATACATCTGTTGACTCATCCATCAGTTCGCGTTCGTCGTCGTTAGCCTCATTGGCGCTGCCATTGTTGCGCTCCGACTTGACAATCCGATCCAGGCTGCTGGGCGCATTCCCATTGCCGGCTGTGGTGCTGGGACTGTGGTTCTCATACCGGCTGCAAATCAAGTCGAGGGTTCAAGTCAATTACAACCAATCAAATTATGAATTTAAGCCTCACATATATACTGTAAGCTATCACAAGTGCAATCTATTGCCTCAATAATAAGCAATATTAACATAAGATAAGAAATACCCCAATTTAATAAAAATACTGCTAACGCACAGATGTATGCAACAAAATAGATTTGGATTTTTCAGGGTGAAATTTATTTTGATTTTGTAATACACCTAAATGTATGCAGCAAAAAATGTGTTCGAACATTTAATGTAGGCAAATGGAGCCGAAATTGGAATGAGCAACATTTGTGATTTATAAACAATAAATTAGAGGACTATACGTTCGAACAGGGTACTTTATAATATACTTGTAACTTATTCAAGTACTATATAAAAAAGATTTCCGATATTAATGTTGCTCGCCAAAAAAAGCGAAATTGCGAAGAAATCGGAATAAGAGATTTTGGAACCTAAACGAAATTCGATTTTCTCTACTCAACTAAACATGATCAGGCCTGTATTTAGGCACATTTTAAAAAACAAAGTATAAAAAGCACTTACCTGGACTGGGGTGAGGCACGTTCCGAGTGCATTGTGTCCGCCTCGGTGGGCGCCGTTGAGGAGGCGCTGGACGAGGGCCGATGGTACGGTGGCTTGTTGATGGGGCTGGGGCACTCCGAGGAGTTCTTGGAGCCATCGCGCAGTACGCTGCCGCGCAGCTCCTGTTCGGGATAGGGACTGCGGAGGGCGCGCTTGCGCAGCGGCTCATTGAAGGACATCGGTCGGTGGTACATGGGCGGCACATAGCCGGACATGGCGCCCAACGCCGAGGAGTTGCTCGCATGCATCAGTGAGTCGCATTCCTGTTTCAGGCTGCCCGTCGAGCCGCCCATATGCATAGCGGCGCCAGCACCGCTGCCCAAACTGATTGGCCCATTGTTGCCGCCCATGCCGTTGCCACCGCCGCCGCTGCCGCTGCCGCCGCCGCCGCCTCCGTTGCCGCCGGCGCCAGAGCTCAATGGTCCAACGCTGCCCGCTGCCGAGCCACTGATGTTGCCGCCGGCACTGCCGCAGCGATCCAATGCACCAGCACTGGCCGCCAGAGCGCTCAAGCCGCTAGCCGCAACGCTGGCCGCGGCGGCCATGCCGCCGGCAGCTGCCATGCCGCTCAAGGCGCCCGCCAGGCTCAGCCCATTGCCGTTGCCCATGCCACCGGCTGTCTGGCCGCTGTTGCTGCCAACCAAACCGCCGCCGCCGCCGCCGACAATGCCGGCGCCGCTGCTGCCGCTTAAGCTGTTGCGCATGCTGCGCCGACCGGTGGGTGAGTCGAGGGGGGAGCTGTCGCCGCCCATGTGTTGCTGCTGTGCCTGCTGGGCGGCCAGGCGGCCGGTCTCTGTGGACAGACCTTTGACCTGTGTGCGACGAGGTTATATAATGCTGCCCACATCATAACTGCTACATTTCTGAATTGAAACTCACCTGTAGACTCTCTGCGGACTTGAGAAAACTGTTGAGCGCCTCCTGGGAGACGTGCACCTCGCCCTTGTACATGAACTCCAGCAGTGCGGCCATGTTGTCCGGCGTGGTCGCCTCCAATATGATGACGCACTGGCCATTTGTGGGCGTGTTCTCGAAAAGATCGGCGAACTTTTTCGAACAGGCAGCCAATATTAATTTGTGTGCTCTAAATACGGCGCCTGCAAGTGCAAGAAGTGGGAGGGGGGTTATTTTAGCCATATGATATTAGCGAATATAAATAATTAATTATAATAATGATTTTCTCCCGTGACGCTTTAAAGCGTATTACAAACAATTCCCATACAAATTTAATGCAAATAGACACGGAAAAAAATGGTATAGCTCAGATTTTGGCGCATTGCGAATAGAAGAAATTGTGGCATACTTTCCGGCTGTGCGTTGTGGCTATAAAATGCGGCCAACAGGTGGCGCCGCGAGCGTAAAACGCTTAGAGACCTTGAACTCATAAAAATCATGTCACACACACAGACACACACAGACACAGTTATCATACACACAAAAGCATAATAAAAGTCGAGCAAGGAAATCATTTCCTTGCTCTTGACTACACACACACACACACAAACACACACACCCGTACACCCATTTGGACTGAGTTATTATTCATCAACTTCAATGTCTTGGCCGTCGTCTTTGGCCTGTGTATGTGTGTGTGACTGTGTGTGTGTGTGTACCTGCGACCCACAGACCCAGCTGCTGCTTCTGCCGTGGCGTATACGCAATATCCCTTTTGCCCACCCCTCCTCCCCCCTCCTGACAATTTAAGTATATTTTTATGTGTTTTCTTGGCTCCGTCGCTGCTTGCCCTTTGCTGGGGTAGGGGTATTCACTCTGTGCTTTTCGGTTGTCTCGGCTTGGTGCTGTTTCAATTTTTCACGTTTCTTTTTTTTTTTTTTTTTTGGCAAGCTGTCTGGGTCTTAGGGTAATACGAGGGTGTGGGTGCGCGGGGAGGGGGCGGGGCTGACTTTATGGGGCACTTGTTGGGCTTGTGCCACGCGCAGTACTTAAGCCAAATTGGAACGAGAAGCGACGCGCGGCTGCGACTCGCAAGAAAATTCACAGAGCTGACATATATATAAACCAAAAGTTTGGACAGTCTTTGGCTGCAAAAATATATATATATGTGTGTGTACAAGTCGTGTGTCTTTAATCTAATCGAAGTGCAGCTGGAGGAATTATTTCGGCAAAAATGTGTGTCAATTTCAGCTCGAATCGCGCTTGATAAGCGTGCCCAATCAGCAAAGCAACTAATATATATATATATATAAATATACAATATATTAGCGCTGAAATCAAAATAAGAGAGGGGCATGGAGAGAGGGAGGAAGAGGAGGAGAGACCAAATCTGCTTACGACACTGCGCAAGTTTCAAAATATGTCTAATCTTAGGTATGATCTATTCGGAATTGCGCGATTGCTATTCGTTATATTCAACTATATAAATATATATGTATATCGAATACCAATATATTTATATACCTAATATTAAGGCATCATATTCGTATCCTTTGCATATCTAGCGCCAGCTTCCTAATAAACTTCCAATACAAATCTGATAAACTTTTAGCAGGGTCTGGACTTTGCCCGCTTTCAATCAGATTATTCTTGGCATTATATATATGTATATGTATATATAAATATATACATTTATATTTGGTGTATTTTATCCATATTATGTATCTCTTATATCCTCTTTATATTTACCAAGCTTGAAATATATACAATAATATGTATTTATTAACTTTTTATATATTCATTATATTTCTTTCCTAGGCATTTTTATCATCTTTATCATTTATATATTATTATTTTTCTATAGCATCTCTTTATTTTAATTTGTTACGTATTCATTTATATTTCATGTATTATATCTTTATGAATTTCTTATCTATAATTTGTTGAGTTGAAAAACGATCCGATTTCCTTAAGAAATAAATCTATAAATTAACTACTTTTGGCTATAAAATGAATTGTCAATAACTTGAAACTGTACTAATTCCTTGATAGTAATAAACCAACTATCTAAATATTTTCATCGATAACTTTTCTATCGAAACAATCGTTTGCAGCCGCAACTGATAAAATAAAAATGCAAGCATAAGAGTTTCCTAATTATTTTCGACTATTTCACAACCGAGTACAGGGTATACAAAAACATTTGGCTTGTGTAATCAAAATGCATGCGCAAATAATAAACAACCTTTTTTGTTGTTGTTGATTATAATTTTATTTCGGTTTTTTGTATTCCAATTTTTTTTTTGCTGATTTTCTAACACTTGATACAACAGAAATTGGGTCACAAGCGCCGCAAAGAAAAACGCAAAAAACTTGTAGGAACAAAGGCACACGCACATTTCTTATACATTAATACGAATATTCGCTGATAAACAAAAAAATATATATATATAAATGTGTGTATAAGAACGAAGAAAAATAACAACAATGCCATACTAATTGCCAGGTCTTGTTTACGTTCTGCCTCGCATAGTCTGCATATATATAAAATTCCTAAGCTCAACAAAATATGTTTTGATTTGGGGGGTTTTTTATTCGGCTGAAACGCATTTAATGCACTTTAAAATTAATTATTGCGATGAAAACGACCTTCGGCGTTTTCGATTTGTTTTTGAAAACACACAATCTTATCGTTTCGATGATTCATTTATGTGTGTCTTAATGCGTTGCTCGAATTTTGATCATAAGTGCAAAATGAAGCGGCGCCATAGTTTGTTTTTAATATGGCTGTAAATAGTCAAGGTTTCTATGATGAGATAGCAGTAGTTCCAATGTTGTTAGATATGATTAGCTGGTATTTACTGACAATAGCAATTGATTAGTTACACATTTAAAAAAAAGACATTAAGTCGCATGAGCTTAAGGCTGCCACTTAATTTAATTGTCTAAAAGCTTCGTTTTAATGTGCTTGCACAGCTTGAGAAGCTTTCAGACCTAGCTTTGTTTACAGAGATAGTTTTATGTTACAGCCGTTAGATAAGCCTTTAGCTGCAGCTAGATTTAATAGCCTCAAGGCTTCGCTTTCCTGTGCTTTGAGAGCTTAAAAAGCTTTAGAACCAGCCTTAGATTGGTCCTTTATAGCCAATGATTGCATTCTATTTATTTGGTTTATAGTAAAGTAATTGTAAATTAACGCTTCGCGTTCATTTGCTTTCAAGGTTTAAGATGATCTTTAAACAATTCAATATATTATTTTTAAATCGCATAAGCTTTAAACTGCAGCTAAATTGAATTGTCTAAAAACTTCGCTTTCATGTGCTTTCAAAGCTCTGAAAGCTTAGTTAAAGCGCGAGAGAGATATTTTTCTTTTATATCATACAATAGCATTCTATTTATGATAAATTTTCCCCAAAATTCATAAAACTTCTCTGCAAACAGATGCCCACGATTAATGGAGATTTTTAAGAGCTAAGCCCGTGACATGTCCGAATCCATTAGTACACTTAATACCTAGTACTTGTTAATGGCTGTGTGTTGCCTAACGGTAACAATCAACCCCCCAAAAAAAAAACTGACGAAATAGCCTAAGGCCAAGCAAATGTTCATTTCGTAAAAATGCTCATTTCTCAAGTGCTGAAAATGCCGGAAACAAAACGAAACGAATGCAGCCCCAGCTACAGATAAAAAAAAAAAGAATGAGAACTGAAAAACAGCTCAAAAACCAAAGCGAAATACACATGAATATTAAAAAACAATCGAAAACATACGCTATTTGCTTTTGTTCGAAGGGCTGGCAAATATTTAATGCTTCATTTCAAAAAGTACCCAAAAAAAAGAAAGGAACCCGACAAAAAGTTAGAAATGGGAAATCAAACATGAATATGAATATGAATATGAATACGAGCATGTGATATTTTAAAGCGAAAAATATTAAAAACCACAATTAAAAGCAGCCAAAACAAAGAACCAAAAAAAAAATAAAATTCGGGTTTATTTTTTTTTTTGGCGAACATTTCAAAATTTTAATCAAAAGTAGTAGCACTTCGATTGATATGGATGACAACGGCTGCAGCTAGGCGAGGGGTTTTATTTTTTTTTTGGCCATTTCTGTTATTTGTATTGTTTTTCTTTTTTGTTTATGGCTAGCCAGGATTTGTGTGGATACCCCTGACACACGGGCGGGCAGTCCGGCAACAGACTGAGCCGCACTCCTTCTAGAGGTATTATCCATAGCATATAAAACCGACACAAAAAAAAGGAAATATGCTCGAGTACGTCAACAAACAGACATGTGAAGCGTACAACTGGCGGCTGCTGTAAATACGCGGCGAACATGTTTATACGACGCGGGAGGACGCGGCGTATGCGCAATTTTTTAATATTTATTTTCAATTTAAAGCGCCGGCACTTTAAACAACGTTTTGTGGAGCGACAGCAAAAGAGGCGCACATTAAAATATATTTCGAGCAACACGTATTCAAAGGCCAAATCAAAAGCCCGCGAAGGGTCCCAAATGAGCTGGCACAGCATCAAAAGCCGCCCAACAAAATCACTGACCTCACACAATAAGCGGCGGCATTAAAGACACACAGGCCTATATAAAAGCCAAATATATACATATATATATATATAAATATGTGTGTATTTGTACCTATATAAGTGCGCTAAATGCCCATGCGCTCGCCCACATTTATATTCATTTAATAAGCCGCCATAAAACTGTAGTAAAATGCTGTAAATGAAATAGTAACATATACACACACACACACACACACACAGAGAGAGACCCACACACACACACATACACGCAGAGCTCAGCAGACAGCGAGACGTCCCATAAAAAGGAGCCGCGTCTTTGGGCACCCGCCCGTCCGTCCGTCCGCCCGTCCGCCAGCCGCCGCGCTTAAGCAGGAAAAATCAATGTCTGTCGCTTTTGGGCGCTTGCAAAAATTGCCGGTCGCCTTTTGGCTTTTATATGCCACATTTGGCGGCTTATTAGCCAAACAGAACGAAAATGAAGCCAAAAACAAAAAAGGCAAGGAAAACTCAATTTATGTGCGCCCGTCTCATTGTCTGTTTATCTTTTTGTCTGTCCTTCTGTCTCTACGTTAACAGAACGTACAAGTCGAGTTATTGATTGTAAGCCCAAGTTAAGTGCGTGTTATTCAAGTCCAAAAATAACCGAGTACTGCTGTTTGTGTGCCTAGCTTTACAGGGCATCTTTTGGCTATCATTCAAAAATGTACAGGGCATCTCTAGTTTATCATCTAAAAATTAAGATTTCCATATAATAGACAATATGCAAGCTTTTTGTGTATTGTTTTTTAATTTCGCCAAAAATTTCTGTGAACATTTTTGGCTGATTATGATTTTTTTTTATATTTTGACTTTCATTTTGAAATGTGTTATACCCAAAAATAACGTTATGTTCTGATTTTCGATTTCACCAAAATTTTCAGCAAAAATGTATATCATGTTAATCAATTCATATAACATTGTTTAGTATTGTTAATAATTCAACTTGGGTCAAATCTACGTGGTATCTTTTGCCTATCATTTAAAAATCAAATTAAGTGTGTCAGCTCACTATTTGATCCGAAAAACTACCCATTATTCTGGTTTTAAATTTCTCCAAAATTTGTCATTAAAACTTAAATTACTGAATGAATAAATTAATTTTCATCATATTTTTAGAGTTTTGGATAATTGAACTTGGGTCAAATTTACGTGGTATCTCTTGCCTATCATTCAAAAATTGAAGCCTTGTGTTAAGCAGCTCCTTATTTGCACCGTTTTGCTCTGTTCTGTTCTGCTCTTCGATTTCGCCTGAACTTCTCATTAAAATATATAGCATAGTTTTAGGATTTTATTAATCAATCATGTATCTGAATGTGCAAAATACCTAATCTCATATATGGAAATGAGAACTGCAAACGACTTTTATTATAGTTCAAGCATTCAGGACTAAGTACACCAAAGCACTTTACTAGAATGCTGGAAATAATTTAAATTTAAAATCAATTTGTTTCTAATAAGATATATATAAATTTGACAAAATTTTAATTTTAATATTTTAGGCACTTTAAATTCAATGGATTCAGATCCTTCGATGATTATCATTAACGAAAGTATCAATTGATTATATTCCCTAACGAATATATCTTATTTATATTTATTAATCACTTCGGTTGAGTTCCATAATAATTAAACGGGTCTTTAATCGTAATTGAACAGAAACATTCTAAACTTTTCGCTTTACTGCAGTTCACATTGCATTTGGTGTCAAAATAAAAACATTTTAAGAAATTCCAAAAAGATAAGCTAACATTTTTTCTACCTAAATGCACCCACAATTGTTCTTATAAAAAAAAGTAAATAAAGCATTTTAGTACTCACCATCGCAGGATAATGTGACATCGGCCAACAGATCCGATTTGAATAGATTGGAGAAGGTAATTGCCAAATTGGACGAGTAACTGTTCCATTTGAGGCAAAATTGCTGTTGTGGATCCATTTTGTTAGTTGTACTTGTTGTGTTCCTCTTGTTGACTCGCTCGTATTTGGCTTAAAGGATCGGGCCAAGGCCAAGGGAAGCTGTCCACAATATGTGGACCGTTCGGTTTCTTATTGTTATATGCCTTCAATTGTTTGTTATCAATTTTAATGTTGTTTTCAATGTTGCCAAAATGGAATTTCGTCGAATTATTTAGCTGGCTTTGCATAAAAGCAATTGGGCCGCTATTAATTCTTAGCCAAAGGGAATTTTGCAATTGTTTGTTGCGTTTGTTAAGCGTGAACGACTTTGGATGCCAACGCATAAAATTATTTATTTATATTGAATTATTCAATTATTTATGGTTTCGATTAATATTATTTAGTTGCAACGTTGCCTTTTATTATTTATTTGATTTGCTTTTATTTGTATTTATATTTATTTATTTATTTACTTTTTTTTGTGAGAGAGCAGTTGATTTTCAGGACGCGCACTCCGAACACGACAAATGCTGCAACGAGAATGACGAGAAAAATTGTTTGGATTGTGATTAGTTAAGATGAATGCGTTGTTGACATAACACACAAGAAGACAAATTCAGTGCCTGCTTTGCTTTGCTTTGCACTTTCTCAGCTTCAGTTCCGAATGTAAAATGCAACAACAACAACAGCTCTTGTATAAGATATAAAGCTCGCAAGTAACAAAAGCTCGCTCTCTCTCTCTCTATCTCGCCTCTGTGAGCTTCGTTAAGTTCTGAGAAAAAGTTGCGTAGGAGCCTCAAATTTCCTCAAGTTATGGCAAAATCGAACGCAATGCGTTTGTATGGGTAATTCTATATTGATAGCGACTGCGGCTGCGACTGCGACTGCGACTGCAGCATTTCCGTTGTTAGCCCAAAGAGAACGGGCAGCAGCCCAATTTATTAGAAATTAATCGAGCATTTAGTATGTGTGTGAGTGTGTGTGTGTGTGTGTGTGTGTGTGTGTGTGTGTGTGTGTGGAGAGGCCAAAAGATATACGATTTAATTCCTGGAATTAGGCGCTCGCTCAAAAATGCCGCCGTCGAGATGCAACCAAAACTTTTAACTTCTTTTTATTTTGGTTATTTTTTTTTTTTTTAACTTTTTGCGACTTTTGTATGCGTCTTCGCTGTGGCCCGCGTCTACGGTTTCCCCTGCCTTTGCGTGCTTAGCCTTGGACGCGCTGCCCAATTCCCAATTCCTGGAAACTGCAGGTGACGGACGCGGCTGCGACTGCGCGTTGCATGGGATGCGCTTTTTTTCCTCGAATTTGTTTAATCGTTAGAAAAATGCGAGCGCGTTTCTTACTTTTTTTTCACTTTCTGATACCCTGTAGCTATTGCAAATGGCCAAAAGGGAATCATTTCTGCAAACCATAAATAATATACATCTGCGTGTGTGTTCTTGATCAGCATCAACAGCTGAGTCTGTCCGCCAGAGAGCCTTAAGAGTTACGAGTCTATAAATTTGGAAGTTTGATCAAGTTTTTTTCAAATCATCATTACATTACTTGAAATCGATAAAAATCGATCTGCACTCATCCAGAAGATTTAACTTTTGATACCTCACCCTGTTTCGCCCCAAATACAAAAAAAAACATAAATCTGTAAAGGTATAGGACTTTGGTATATACACACCTATGGATGCGCTTCTAAACCCCAAATAATCGTAAACCCCCATAATAATCGTACCTCAAACACCGAAGTTATATAAGAATGCATTTATCATAGAATGGAACTAAAAGAAGAATCACAGCAGCTGTGTCAACGAAAGTACAAATTCGTCTAACAGGGTACATCATAGCCGGGCACTCCCGACTAGAGCACTCTCTACTTATTTTCGTTTAACTTGCCCTGTGCCTCGGCCTGCACCCAGGCTCAGCCCCGGCCCCGCCTCCGCCCCGTCCTTCTGGTGAGCTGTTATGTGGAACCAGAACCTTCGCCTTCAGCCCGCGGGCAATGCGGTATAAAAATCAACGGTTTCGTTTGCCACGCTGAATGGTTGGCCCCAAAAAGATATCGGTAAAAAGCTATTAACAAATTCCTGGGAAGTTTGCAGTTTTGCTTCGCCTTTTTTCAGGTTTGCTCAACTGAAGTAGCAGCAGCAGGAGCAGCAGCAGAGGGAATTGTTGATCGAAGGGTAGCGGATATTTAGTGTGCATGTGTATGTGTGTGTGCATCGCTGTGTGTGTGGAGTCTTTTTGGCCATAACAGTAATTGGCTAGTGATTGGAAGTAGTGAGTAAATTAGACTCTTTTCAGCTGTTGAGCGAGGTGTGAGGAGAGTGTTAAGGGTTTACTTCTATTAAGTAAGTTATGCAAGTTGTCTATCTGATGTAGATCATGAATATACATATATATTTTGTTTGTTTAGTGCATAAGAATAATTTAATTCATTTCTTTACAAGGTAAGCAGGATATCTTATGTGAACACTGTGCTCTTAACAGAGGTAGCTCTTAACATATTGCTCTTAACAGAGAGCGCAACTTAACATAAACAGCTTTATGTAAATATATTGTTTAGCATGTCTCATGTTTCAGTTCTAACAAGCCCCTAGATATACTGAAATGTTATTCATTTTCGTTTACAGCTTCTCTTTCTGCACCCAAAATCATATCCTTAAACTCCTTTAGCTATGTAAGGCTTTGCATGCGACTGTACTTTTTGTCTGCAAAATTCTACGCAGCTGCATTTGAAATGCCTTTATCAAACTTTTCAATTACACAAACAACAATGCGAGGAGTAGGCCTTCTTTTAAGCGAAATACAAAAAAAAAATGTAGAGCAAATTCTTTGGGATCAGTTCGCTTGATTCAGCTTTGGGCAGCCAAATGACGACACCTGAAGGCAGTTGCGACTTGAAAGTAGTTTTTTTTCTTCCATTCGTCTTTGATTCGCAGTCGAAGGCAAAATAGCTCAGGTATCTGTTAAGCTATCTGCTCTGAGGCCATGTGCGAAGCGCACAAGAAAAACAACGCGTAAATCCTTTTCACACACACAAGCACACACACACACACGCATACACACAGTGTGTTCCTGGAAGACGCGCACACACAAAGAAACCGAGCAGCTTTTTTTTTTTTTATATATATTTTTGCTTTTTATTATTGTTATTGTCTTCTAACTGGAACAGGAAGGTCTTGGGGGTTGTTCTACGATCGCAACGCACTTTTCTAATAACAAAAGAGAATCATAATAAAAATTGAAAACAAAAAGTTCAAATCAAATTACGCAATAGCTGCTCTACCCAAAGCTGCATTTGCAATCTCCAAAAATAAACATAAAAATAAAAAAATAGTAGTCAACATTATCGATAAATAAAATTCACTATTTAATTGTTATATTTTTCTGGTTTTTAACTAATTGACCTTGTGCACTATTTTGATATTGTCGAAGTCAGAAAGAGGGGCAAAAACAAATCAAAATGAATCACGATTCATTTTTCAGAGCTGCAGTTTATAAATTGAAGCGGGTTCTTGAGCGCGCGCTCTCTCTCTCTCTCTCGATCGCAGTTTATCCCTGTCTCTTTCTCTCTCTCTCTAGCTCTTTCCGCATTTGTTTTTGTTGCCGCATTCGTTTAATTTGATTTGAATGTCAATTAATTCAAACAAGTGACGCGTTTTATTATGAGAGCTGCCAGATTTGTTTTTTTCATTTTCTTTTCCTCATTCTTCTTAATCTATGAATATTTCTGCATCTTGTATAAAGAGTAAAGTATAAAGCAAAATCTTGTGTTCTTACTTAGTTTTAAAATGTTAATATATTATTGTTATATATATTATTATAGAGAAGAATGGGGAAAGAAAATATATATTATAGCCGTTAGGTTTTCTTTATTTTAATATCCTTACGCTCAACAACTAATTATTTCTGGTCTCATTCATCTATGAGGTATACATACGTTTTTTTAATTATGCATAACCAAATTTTTATATATATACCATATGAATATCCTACCCAGAATGAAGATCCTAGCTAACCGCCACGAACCTTAGTTCACCCTTACCTCAAGATCATCTTCTCTAACATCATTCGCCTCATCGAAAAAGAACAGTACTTGTTAAATTAAATTAATAATTAGTAAGTTAAAATTTTTATTATTATATAGGTAACGAGTTCCAGATGAAATAGGTATAGCTGCATAATCCAATAGGCTTTCAACATGCCCGAAAAGAACCGATATTAAAAAAAAAATTTTTTTAGATAATATTTTGACTTCATTATTTTGATCAGCGCGTATAGGACTTATATAACATGAAAATAACCAAACAACTATCGAAACAACAAATTAATTTCAAGTTATTTAATTAACTTTTATTATTTAATTGTTTTTCCAATTTTTGCAAAAATTTAAAAAAAAGTTTTAAATTAAAAATAAATCCATATTTAATTTTTTTATTATTTTTTAGAATATCCCGAAACTTTTAATTTGGCTTTAAAAATTCTTTATACCCTGAACCCATTGAAAATGGGTAAAGAGGGTATAATGTATTTGTGCAAATGTATGTAACAGGCAGAAGGAAGCATCTCCGACCACATAAAGTATATATTTTCTTGATCAGCATCAATAGCCGAGTCGATCTAGCCATGCCCGTCTGTCTGTCCGTCTGTCCGTCTGTCCGTCCGTCCGTATGTATGAACGCAAGGATCTCAGAACCTATAAGAGCTAGAGACTTGAAATTTTAGCTGTAGGTTCTCCTAGTGCTCGCGCAGATCGAGTTTTTTTCCGATATTCGATACCTTGCCCTGTAATCCAAGTAATCGATAAAAATCGATATCGAAATCCTGTTTTTTTTAACAATTTCGGCAAATAATATGAGCTAGAGTCACCAAACTTGACATGTAACTTCAAGAATAGTATATATGTATATATATCAAGTATCTTTCATTTTATACCTATCGCCTGTTGGAAGAAGAGGGTTCAAGGTATCCCCTAGTCGGGAGCTCCCGACTAGAACCTCTTACTTGTTTTGTACTAAGGATATATTTAATTTTACATTATTATATTAGCGATAGCTCAAAACATTTAATCTGGCTTTGCGCTCTCTAATATCTATTTCGTCCCAGACATAACACTCAAAGTTCGCATCTTCCTCCAAGATTTGGTTACTTTCAAAAATAATCTGTCGAGAATCATGTATTTTTATAAAATTCATTTCTCACGTTTGCCAGAAAGAAATTCTAAGACAAAAAACGCTTACATCTTTTAAGATAAGGAAATGTATAAATAAATACGGCAGGCTATTTAAGAACTTCCGTGGAACAAGAAAAAACATTTGACGAATGCTAAAAACACGTTATATCACAATTTATTTATTTTTGTCTTATTTTTGACAGGCATGTTCCTAGAGATACTGAGAATCAAATAGCTTCAAAGCCTTAGCACATTCAACTGGTATCTGTTCCAATCTATCTGTCAATGAAGTAAGATAGGTCTTTAATGTTTTAATATTGTTCCTAGAGATACTGAGAATTAAATTTATACTACATTCAA